ATTAAAGGCGTGAGCCGCCACCGCCCGGCAGAAACTCAGCTTTTTAAAAGATAACTATAAGGACTGGGGAGGTGGCTCAGTTGCAGGCAGGAGGACATGAGTTCAAATCCCCCAGCATCCACATAAAAAGCCAGACATAGAGGCGTGCACCTGCAACTCCAGCTCTCAGAGGGCGACAGAGACAGGCAGATTCCTGGACTGCCATGGCCAGCCAAACTTGCTGAGTCAGCAAGCTTCAGGTTCGGTGAGAGACCTCTGGACTCCATATCCACATATGCATACATACCTGCACTGTACACAAGAATGCACACATGAACATGTACACACACACAGGCTCACACATGTGCACACATACTTACACAGACATGAACATGTACACACACACACACACACACACACACACACACACGTGTTGGCACATGCATGCCACAGCAAGTCTGTGGAGGTCAGAGGACAATTCTCAGGTGTTGTCTCTTTTTACCATGTGGCTTCTGTAGACTGAACTCGGGTCACTCACTGGGCCAAAAAGACGGCCCCGACTCACTGTCTCTAGTTCCCCTCAAGCTGGTGTGTGTGCACAGGATTTTGGGAACATGTCCTCTCTCCCCCTCACTGTTTCTGATGAAGAGAAAGCGCTGACCCTTTAGTGCCAACCCTCCATATATATCCTTTATAGATGGAGTCTGGGCAGCGCAACAGTAAGTGTCCTGAGCTGTGCAGCCAGCCTCTGCCCGGCCTGTTTGGGTAAAAGCAGCTTGGGATCAATTATGGATGAGGCACTGTGGGGGAGGAGGAAGTGGGCTGTTGTCTACTTTGAAAAATTAATGGGAGCTGATTAATACGGAGCACGGACCTTCTTCTTCAGCACAGAGAAGCTGCTGTCTCTTCAGGAGCTCCGGGTGGGGATAGCATCCCGCGTGTCTGTGTTCTGTGGGGATCCATTCCAGACTCCTCTGGAAGAATCTGCTCCATTGACCCTCAAAGATGCTGAAGCCCATCGAATCTGAGCAGTTTGCCCAAATAGGGATAAAGGAAGAATGGCCACTTGTTACTATTTTTAATTTAAAACATTTAATATGGAAAATTGAATCATTTATACAAGTTGATATATAAATATAATGTAACTTATCATTGAAAATCTTTTTTTTTTTTTTTTGAGACAAAGTTTCATGCAACCGAGGCTGGCCTCAAATTTGCTATGATGTATCCAAGTCTAGCTTGACTGCCTCATCCCCCTGAGTACTGAGACTGTAGGCATGCACCATCACATCCAACTTGGGATCACTTCTTTGTGTAAGAGTTGAGAACTCTCCAGTCTGGGCCCAGCCCTGCCTATGGCGATCTAGCTGAGAGGCCCAGGTGGCTGGGGACCTGCACGCTGTGACCTGAGATGAGTTGGTGACATCTCTGGTTGCTGCAGGACCATGACATTCATCCAAGAGCCAGTTCCCAGCCCATCTAGTTCTGACTTCCTGTCAAGAAACCCTCAGAAGCACTTCATCCAGTCACCTGACCTTTCTTGTGTGTTTCCAGGGACGGAGAACTCACTACCACAGCAACAGCCAGTCCACAGCGGGAGCCTCCTTTGCTTGGAAGCTCTGTCACACTGACTGACATTGGGGAGGCTCCTGCTGGGAGGGGCTCAGGCTGCAGTGAGATCCCTGGGTCTCTTAAGCCCAGTCACTCCATCTCCAGTAGGAAGGGCTGTTCCGGCTTTCTCTCTGAGTATATGTGTATGTGGTGTATGTTTGTGGATGTGTGTGCTTATGTGCAAGCAGATGCTCCACCCCCCCACCCCACCCCCGTGTGCCTGTGGAGGTCATAGGTCAGCATCAGGTGTCTCCTTCAGTTGCTCTCCACTTTGGTTTCTATGGTAGGGTCTCACACTGATCCTGGAACTCACTAATTTGATTAGAATGGCCAGCCTGTGATCTCCAGGGACCCTCCTGTCTCCTCTTTGTCAGTGCTGGCTTTTCACACGGGGTGCTGGGGAACCAAACTCAGGTCTTCGTGTTTGTGTGGCAGGCATTTTGCCACCTGAGTCGGCTCCCCAGAACTGCTTCCTTTTGACCTACCATCCTAAGTTTTTACCCTTTGAGGGATCAAATCTAGGGCCTTGCCCATGTTAGGCAAGTACTTTACTGCTGAGTCCATACTACACAAGTAGTCTACTACTGAGCTCATACTATACAAGTACTCTACTACTGAGCCAATGCTAGGTAACTAACTACTCTACTACTGATCCACATGCCAATTTTCAGATTTTTTTTTTTTTTCTAACATGGCCTCCTTCTCTTTAGAAACATGCTTCAAGGCCTTAGAGAAACTGAGGTCTTGTTCAAGTGTGAACATCACTATCGCTTGTGGAGCTCACTTCAGCTTCCCAGCTGGCTGGCTCCCTCTGAAGTGCCCCTTTGGGTCTGGCTTTTTCCACAGAGCCTGACTCCAGCACCCACCTCCAAAGCAGTCCTGGATCCACAGGCTGTTGCAGCCGGGTTACTATGCTGGATCCTCCCATTCTGTGATATCAGCCTATCTGACACAGGCTGCTGTCTTCTGACTTTATGAAGAATCTGAAACTGTGCAATCCATTAGGCTTTGTTTCATGTCTCAGTCAACTTTCAAATAGTGGGACCTCATGACAGGAAGAACATGGAAGGAAGAGGTAGGACCCTTCCCCTCAACCTCAGCTGGGTGACTGGGGGCAGCTGGGGCTCAGGCAGTCTTTTTGGTTTGGAGATGACTAATCTGGCTCTGGCCTGAGAATAATTCCAGGCTGGCTGGCTGGACGGTCGGTTTCCATGGCAACGGTTGTTATTGGTAACTGAATAAGCATCTCGGAGAACAGCTCTGGAGTTGACGGTTTTCCCTTCTTGTTGGAATTGAGAGGAGCCAGGCTTGTGCTGCCGATCCTCAGCATGGACTCGCTGCTGCAGTGTGATGTCTGGCAAGCTGGAGGCACCTCCATTTCCCCTCTGAATTCTGCCTCCACAGAAGGAGGCACAGACTAATTGCTCTCTACTTTCTGGTGTCTTCAGAGATGCCGAGGGACACGGTCAGGGACACCCAGCGAGTGAGTCCCAGAACTTGAACCCTGACTTGTCTGATCCTGGATTGCTTGCTGTATTGCTGTCCTGCCTCTGTCCTTTCCCCCTGAGCACACACAGGAGCCTTATCAGACCCTCCCTGGTGACACTATCAGCATGCTTCATTATGTGTGGGGACAGTTAGCATCCCACAGTGACTCCCAGGACGGAGGCAATGCTAGAAATGGTCAGTCAGGGAGACTCCCCCAGACGCTGTGGCCCCATAATCATCAGGAAAGCAGGGGCTCAGAGCTTCCGAGGCCTGCCGGCCAGGGACTGTTTCAGACTCCTTGTGGTCCCTCTGCACTGCCCCTGCCAGGGGATTGACCTGTATGCTAGAGTGGAATCCAGACTATGCCTGCAGAATGCCTCTGGCCATGGTGCTTACTCCCCTCCCTCTGTCTCCCCATCCAACCTTCTTCCCTCCCTTTCTCCCTCCCTCCATCCCTTCCTTCCTCCCTCTCTCTCTTCCTCCCTCCCTTTCTCCCTCTCTCTCCCTCCCTCCCTCACTCCCTCCCTCTCTTCCTCCATCCCCCTCTTCTTCCTTCCTTACCTCCTTCCCTTCCTTTATCCCTCCCTCCCTCATCTTCCTTTTCTTCTTCCCTCTCCTCTTGCTCTGCAAAATCACCTCTGGCCATTTCCCTGGTTGCTTTCCCTGTCTCAGGCCTGTTCCCTTGTTAAGCTTTCCTTGGGTGAACCTTACTGAATGTGGATGCTTCTGCCAAGCTCAGAAGCCATGCTGCTGGCTTTGGAGTGTCACTGCAGAAAGATGACACTTCAGCCCTTGAAGGTCCTGTGACAGAAACAAAGAAGCTGGTGTGGTGGTGGCTGGCCACCTACGTTCAACTTGTGGTGCCCTTCTTAGGATGGGCGGTCATCTGGACCTCTCTCCATGGTCTCTAGTGGACCTGTGACGGTGAAACTGTGGACCTCCATTGTGAAACTGCCTGTCCTGGGCTCAGGGACACCGTGGGATTCTCGTCTCTTGGCTGCTCCTTCATGTCCCCATTAGGCTTCCTCCTCTCCTTGACTGTGATTGTTGGGGTGGCTCAAAGTTTGATCCCAAGTGACAGCGTCCACTGCGCCTTGCTTCTGTTCCCACCTACTCTGTAGCAACTCAGGGAGCTTGCCAGCTCATGCCTCTGCTCCTGGCTGTGGACCTGTATCACTAGGGACCACGCCCTTGCTCCTAGATGACCTCAAGGTGTCTAGAGCCCATTTATAATTAAAGACAGCTCTTCCTCATGACCCCACAGACTCCTGTGTTCAAATGTTGCCCCTCAGTGTAGCGCTAGTAGGTGTGAAGGAACCTTTACAAGCCTGGCCTGCTGGGAGGTCTTTAAGTCATTGGAGGCATGACCTTGAAGGGTTTCATGGGACTCTGGCCCTGCTCTTTGTCTCTCATATTGGCCCTGGGTTGACTGGTTTTGTACCACTAGTGTTTTGGTGTTTTGCTTTACTGTAGACAGCAGGGCAATGGGACCAACTGATCATAGGCTGGAGCTCCCAAAACTGAGAGTGGAAATAACCTGGTGTTTGGGTATAATGACAGAAAGCTGACTCACCAAACCTTCTCTCCCTGCTCTCCTCTCTCCTTTCCACCTCAGGGGCAGAGCAGCCTTCACAGTGGTCAAGGCAGAACTGAGGGCTCTTCTTCACACTTCCTCTTACTCACCACTACATCTGATTCCTCACCAATACCTGCCAGTTCTCTCCTGAAAGGCCTTAGAATCTTCCCAAATGCTCACCTCTTCACACCCATTGCCTTAATCAGCACACGATTGGGTGTTTGCCTAGAATGGCCATGTGCCCTTTGCGGTCTCCTCGCCTCTGTTCTGCCCATGACTGTCGCTACTCTAGTTACAATGTCTTTAAAATACAAATGAAGCGCATCTGCTCTCCTGCTTGCCGCCTCTCACATTCCCCTGCTCCCACGGGAAAGGACTGTGGTGGTTTTCAGATATGTCCATTGCTTTGAATTTAGACAGTAACTATTTCAATTCAGGTAGCAGGGCAGCAGTGACCCCATGTGACACCTGAGTGACACCTGGGGCTGAGTCAGCCAAGCTTTCCCTTGGTTTCAATTCTCACAGGGCTTTCCTGACTAAACTCCCTCTTGTTCCTGCTGATCACATGTAAGGGGAGGCCCTGGCCGTGTGGGTTTCCGGTGTGGTAGTATCTAGATAGAACCAGAATCTTTTTGGGTAAGGGGTGTGGTGTGAGGGTAGGCAAAGCCCTTGGTGGGTAGGGATCACCAGTCCTCTCTGTTTTTAAACAGGTGTTGAATAGGTGCCCCATTAAAGTCTGCCTACCTCTGGGGGTCTGTATGTAACAGCAGCTGAAGGTCAGCAGGGGCCTCACAGATGTAAAACAGGGGGCTCTGTAACCAGAGAAACACTGGAGAAAGGGATGTGACTGAAAAGTTAAAGAAAATTAACAGATGACAGCCTCCACACATTCAATCCCTAACCCCCTTAAAAGGATCTTTCGGCATCTAATTGACACATTTCAAGAGACACACTGACTAGTTAGACATCAATTGACACCCTTATTAAATATCAATTAACACATTCCCTAACTTGATATTTAATTAGCTTGCCGGAGCTGTTCTTTTAAGAGCCAATTAAACGCCTGGAATATTCTTACATGCTGATTCCTCTGCTAAGCAGTCACCCATGAATCTTTGTCACAAGTCCTTCTGAGCAGGTTTCCAAACACACGCCAGGACTGACAGAAGTTTAAGATCAATCCCGACACACATAACAAAGCCCTCTTCTCACCGTGGTTACGAATAAAAGGTACCAACAGTTTTCAAACTGTGGCTAACTCTATTTCCTGACCGTAGAACTGTTAAGTTGGACAATCCAGACCTCCTTCCAGGCAGAGTTGTGATTCACTAATTGTGCTAAAATGCATGTAAACTAAAATTCACAGTAGAGGACACCATGGGGTCACTGGGACAGAGCCACAGAAACTAATTATGATGGCCCATGGGTCATGGCTAAATGAAGTCGGGTAATTCATCAAAAAGGAACCTTACATCGGAGTGCATTGTTTTCTGCTGTCCAAGGTGTCTCGTGGACTAGCCTAGATGAACTTCAGACCGTAGATAGTATAGGGTTCATAATGATAGATAGTCTTGACTTTCCAAAGCCTCAGGCATGGGGAGCAGGTACTGGGGGTGGAACATTCCTTGTCACCAAAAGGATGAAAACTCAAAGACTGGGCCACTCCACTGAGGAGCAGACTCAGACTCACAGAAGATTCCTGCCTAGGGGCTTGTGTTGTAGAATATTTGTACACTGTGTGATGATATTGCTATGATTGGTATAATAAAGAGCTAAAAGGCCAATAGCTAAGCAGGAGAGAGGGGCGGGACTTTCGGGCATAGAGAGGAAACTTGAGATGAATCTAGGCACTAGTGGAGATGCCATTGAGATGCAGAATGAGTCAGACATACAGAATGGGAAAGAGGTAAGAAGCCATGTGGTAAGACAGAGATTAATAAAAATATGTGTTTTTTTTGGTTTTATGAGCTAGTGGGACAAGCCTAAGTGAATGGCCAAGCTTTCATAATTAATAAATCTCTATGTCGTTATTTGTGAGCTGGCGGCTAATGAAAAAGTTTGCTACAGGCTTTCACTCACTCTTCCTTCTGACTGGAAGGTTTTGCTATGTCCTCATCCACTGTAGGGTTTCACCATTGCCACCACACCTCAGAGAAGACTCCCTCAGTCACTCACTCCTTGGGGTAAGGTCCATTGTACCCCACCCACTAGGCTTAGATTTGAAGAGCCAGTGAAGCCCTTCCTAAGATTAGTCTCCATGACTTGGAATTACTTAGTTACTTTTTCGATGCCTGTATTCCTCAAAAGACTGTAGACAGAGGAGGGTAGAGGGCAAGCTCCATGCTCTGTGTCTGTAGCTATAGTTCATAGCACAGTGTGTCTTGGATTAATGGATGAATGGATAGAACAGATGAATGAGAGACTAGATAGATGGATGAATGGATGGATGAGAGACTAGATTAATGAATGCAGAGATAGAAGGATAGAAACATGGGTTGATGAATACAGAGATAATGTTAGATGAATGGATATGTGGGTGGGTGGGTAGATGAAAGAGTAGAGGGATTGATGGATAGATAATTGAATGGTGGTTGAATGAGTAAATGGATGAATTGGATGGTTGAAGGACTGATGGTGTGTTAGATTCTCAGGAGAAACAGGACCAATAGAGTGAATATATGTTAAAGAGGGTTTATGAGACTGGCTGAAATGCTGTGGTCTGGGTAGTCCAACAACGATTGCCTCACATTTAAGAGGCCGAGAACCACATATACACAATGGAGTACTACTCAGCAGAGAAAAACAATAACAGCATGAAATTTGCAGGCAAATGGATGGAACTAGAAAATATCATCCTGAGTGAGGTAACCCAGACCCAGAAGGACAAACATGGTATGTACTCACTCATAAGTGGATTCTAGATATAAAGCAAAGAACAATCAGACTGCAACCCACAGAACCAGGGAGGCTACATAGCAGTGGGGACCCTAGGATGACTGAGGCTTATAATAAGTTTTGGTTTTACTCAATTACTGGGCAAGCCTCAATGAAACATTTCTCTATTAGGATAAGAATTTATACTGTATCAAGCTGATAATAGAAAATAAATAAATTAATTAATTAAAAAAAGAGGCCATGAACCAGATAAACTGCTCAGTGCACAGACTGGGTTCTAAGCTATATGAATCTTCCACTGAAGGCTTGGAGGATTCCTGGAGAACCCTGGTCTTCAATCCTTGTTGGAAACCTGAAGAAGCTGGGTGGTTCTGATGTCTGTGAAGGGATCCAGCAGTGGTGGTGATGACAGGGCAGATGAATTTGCCAACAACAGTGAAGGCAAGCAAGAAAACTTCCTCCTTTTCCAGACTGTTACCTGGGCTGCCCACAACTGGTGTAGATTTTCCCACTTTGAGACAGGTCTCACCTTGTACCCCTGG